ACAGGGAAGAGGAAACCACGAGAGGAAAAAAAAGTAAAAAGGAAGAGAGAAATAAACCAGGTCGGAGGAGCAGAGGAAAAAGAGGAGGATAACTGTGCGTATGATCTTTAAAGATACAGGTTGGTTGCCCAGGTAGAGGGGAGAGGGAGAGTGATAGGGGAGGAGAGAAGGGGAGAGAAGAGAGAGAGGCGAGGGAAGAGAGACGAGAGACGGGGAGGAGAGAGAGAGGCGAGGGAGAGGAGAGGAGAGGGAGAGAGGAAGAGAGAGGGGGGAGAGGAGAGAGAGGCGAGGGGAGAGGAGAGGAGAGGGAAGAGGAAAGAGAGACGAGAGAGGATAGGAAAGAGAAGGGAGAGGAGCGAGGGAGAGAAAGGAGGTGTGGGTGAGAGTGAGTGAGAAGAGAGGGGAGAGAGGAGACGGGAGAGGGAGAGAAAGAGGAAGTAGACCGGTATAGGCGAAGAGAGGGGAAGGAGGGGAAATGGGGAGGGAAGGGGAGAGAGGGAGAGGGAGGTGAAAGTGGGAAAGGAGGGGAAATGGGGTGAGAGAAAGAGAAGAGGAAGGGAAAGGGAGGGGAAGAAAAGGAGAATGGAATCATAGAATGGGGGAGAAAGGGAGAAGTTAAAAAGGGGGACGAGTAATTTTTTTTTTTTGGTCTGTCTATTTGTTTCTTTTTTTATTTCCTAAGGAAAGCCCAAGGGAGGCAGGGCCCTTGGGATGAACAGTACGAGTTTGAAGGGGAAATAAAGATGGTTCACTCTCGGGCATTGCGAGGGACGCGGCGGTTCAGTTAGTGTCTTTTTTTTGTCTCTTCCTTTCTCTCTTCCCTTTTCTTCTTGTTTGCTTTTTGTTTTTGTTTTTTTCCTTTTCTGTTTTTTTCTCTGTGTATGGTTTTGGTTTATTATGGCGTGTTGGGGGGAAAAGATAGGGCTTGGGTGGCTATATATAGGTTTCTGGAGCGTCCATATTGCTGTTGTCTGGAGTGGATTGTTGTTGTGATTGTAGTTGTTATTGTTGTTGTTGTTATTGTTATTGTTGTATTGTTTCTTGTCGTTGTTGCTGTTGTAGTCGTAGCTATTGTTGTTGTTTCTGTTGCAGTTGTTTTTATATTGTTGCTATTGTTGTTGATATTGAAGGAAGCGAACGGTTTGTTTGTATGGCGCGAGGCCCGACCCAATGGACATTCAATATTCATGCATGTACACAGCAGTAAATGCATATCTATGAGTAGACATGCATATCTACCGAACAGATGAATAGATAAATGTACATATATGTATCAGATAGATAGATAGATAGGGATTTATTTATGTGTACGTCTGTAGATATGAATATTCATTGGGTCGGGCCATGCACAATTTTGATCAAAAGTGGGCGGGGTCATTGGCACAATATAATCGACAATATTACAACCGTTACAGTTTTGATGTTATTGTAGTTGTTGTGGTTGTTTTTCTTGTTGTTCTGTTATTGTTATTGGTATTTTGTTTTTCATCAATATTCTCTCTCTCTCTTAGTCTCTCTCTCTCTCTCTCTCTCTCTCTCTCTCTCTCTCTCTCTCTCTCTCTCTCTCTCTCTCTCTCTCTCTCTCTCTCTCTCTCTCTCTCTCTCTCTCTCCTCTCTCTCTCTCTCTCTCTCTCTCTCTCTCTCTCTCTCTCTCATCTCTCTCTCTCTCCTAACCCATAGTAGTAGGACTATCTACCGTCATAACCTTAAAAAGTTTTATTGTTCATCTGACCAACAGTATTTCCGGTATGGTGGCCGACTGACCTCATAACTGAATGAGAGGGAAAAAAGTAGTGGCCAGTTTATCTGTTGTGTTTTTGTGTCTGTTTACGTATTCATGTATTCATTTGTTTGATTATGTATGTATGCGTGTGTGCGTGTGCGTATTTTGTGTTATTTATGGGGTTTAGTGAATATGTTTTTATTTATTTATTTATTTATTATTATTTTTTTTTTGCGTTCTTTTGTTGTTGATTGGTTGTATGTGTTTCTTTATGGTGTATGTTTCTAACTTTTATTTTATTTATTTTTATTATTATTTATTTTATTATTATTTTTTTTTTTAGTAATGATTAGCTTGGATTAATTTTACATAGATTTACGTGGGCCGTTACTCTGCGTATGTACGTGTTTGCATTTATGTGCGTGTGCGTATTTATGTGCATGTGCGTATACATGTACACGTATTTTACAGTCCTACATTAGTGTTCTTGTAAATACATCTGTTGCGCGCATAGGCCTATATCTGGTCCACGTAATCAGGCAGCTGATAGAGGCCTCTCCAGTTTGTGACCTGGAAATTGACCCAGGGACTCCTCTGCTTTGACCTTGATTGACTCTTTCTCGTGTACCGTCATGTTG